TCTCAATTTTAAACAATTTTTATTCCTATATAAATTTCTAACTAATTTCTCTCTTTCTTCTGTATATTTATTATATTCTWTAGTTTCAGTTAGTCCACAATAATCACAAAATCCTGTCTTATGTTTTTTCATTATTTTAAGTGTGCTGTTTAAACCTATATGCTCAGATCTAATCCTTGAGATTATGTCCTCTTCTTTCTTCTTCCTATAACTTCTTCACCCACCCTTTTTTGAATATTGCAGAAAAATCAACCCTTAGTGCCTCTATCCCAATGATATTTCCATTTTTTCCAAATATGTAATTTAATTATACTTTTAATTTCATGTTTACTCATCTTAATATTCAATTACATTTTTATTTGTTGCACTTTTTGCACACTTGTCAGTCAGCTCCTTTCCCTCTGTCCCAGTGTGTGCAGGTATCCATATTAATTTTAATGTTATATCATTCCTATTAATTCTGAAAACTGATTTTTTCTATTACAATATCTTGTCTTGAGTCAGAATGCATGTATTGAATTCTTCTTTTTCTTCTTCTTCTGGATTTTTTTGGCGGTTGGCAAAAATGTTTGGTGTGCATAACTTCCACCGACTGGTATGGAGTGTGGTTCAGACGTTAAGTATTTCTTCTTCTTCTTCTTCTTGGTTTTTATTGGCGGTTGGCAACAAACTTACAGTAGCATTACCGCCACTTACCMGTATGGAGTGTGGTTCGAGATGGTCTATATACTTTCACTTTCTACCTTTTCCCTCCACTAACTCCTGATTAAACATACCCTCACACATACACACCTGCTTATATTACCCAACTTGCTTATAGCTTTATATACCCCTCTTTAATATTCTTTACACATTCACACCCAACTTGCTCTACTCATATCCTATGAAATAACTTCGTTTTTTTAAGATACCGAATAACTATTTGAATATGTGTACTCCCTAGATCTTTCCTCAAAAATTCTATTAAATTAAACCTTTCTTTTATACCTACACACTCTCTCAGCATACATCTTCTCTCTTCTTCATACTTARGACATTCTAAAATAACATGCTCTATTGTTTCAGACTTCTCACAATAATCACACTTTCCAGTTTTATGCTTTTGTATTTTAAAAAGTGAATAATTAAGCCCTGAGTGACCGAACCTTAACCTTGTTATTATTCTWTCCTCCTTCCTATTTCTTCCTCCTTTTCTTTTCTTTCCTACAGCCTCCTGAATTTTATAATACCACCTTCCTGTTAACCCTTTGTCCCACCTTCTCTGCCATATTTCCATAAGCTCTTCTTTGGCTTTACTTTTCCCTTCCGATTTACTCATCCTAACTTCAAAACTAATAGGATCATGTGTTGCCTTCTTTGCCATTTTATCAGCCTTCTCATTTCCTACTATCCCTATATGTGCTGGAACCCACACAAATGTAACTACTAATCCCAAATTTTGTATTCTAAATAGATTATGATAAATTTCTAATAAGATGTCCATCCTACTATCCGTATTATTATATTTTATGCTTAACAGAGCTGAACTTGAATCTGAGCAAATTATTGCTRGTAGAGGCTTTACGTCCTCAATCCATTGTAAAGCCAAAAGTATCGCTAACATTTCTCCTGTGTAAATTGATAACCCGTCTGTGATTCTCTTCCCTATATTCACATTGAAWTCTGGAATTATACATGCTATTCCTATTTTTCCGTCGATTTTTGATGCATCTGTATAAATTTGGACATGTCTATAGTAATTATTTAAATATGATTGCACTGCATACCTTTCTACAATATTTGACTTATCTTGTTTTTTTACCAATATTGATAAATCAACCATAGCTTCTGGTAGYATCCAGGGTGGTATAACTGATATTGGATTTGTTTGACTAATTTCTAGAGTGTCCACTTTAAGTTCCTTTACTNGTAGAGGCTTTACGTCCTCAATCCATTGTAAAGCCAAAAGTATCGCTAACATTTCTCCTGTGTAAATTGATAACCCGTCTGTGATTCTCTTCCCTATATTCACATTGAAATCTGGAATTATACATGCTATTCCTATTTTTCCGTCGATTTTTGATGCATCTGTATAAATTTGGACATGTCTATAGTAATTATTTAAATATGATTGCACTGCATACCTTTCTACAATATTTGACTTATCTTGTTTTTTTACCAATATTGATAAATCAACCATAGCTTCTGGTAGGATCCAGGGTGGTATAACTGATATTGGATTTGTTTGACTAATTTCTAGAGTGTCCACTTTAAGTTCCTTTACTMCCTTTTCAATTTTCCATCCATAACTCTTCATCCCTTTTTCCTTTTCCCAACATGGTTTAATAATTTGACGTTAAGTATTTCTAAAGTGTTGTTGTTTATATAACTGTACATTCAAACTTTATTAATCAATTTTGTTTTTAAAAAATCTTATTATAATTTGCATTGATTTGCTCCCTAAATGCTTTTCTAAAGTGTCTATTGTGTTTATTTTTTCTTTATTCCTTTCAAACTTTTTCCTCATATATTGTCTCTCTTCTTTATATTTACAACATTCAAATACCACATGTTCTATTGTTTCATCTTTTCCACAATGGTTACATTTCTCCATATCATGCTTTTTGCATGTATTGAATATTTGTTATGGTGCRACTGAACAAATTAAAACCTTTGCTGTTCTGTATTTGATTGTCTTGATTGTTTTCACCTGTGTCTGGTTGAGTTCACTGAGTGTTCTTATATATATGGTCTGATCAGTTCCTCCTCACTACACCAAACTTTGCTGTTTGACCTGCTTGATGGTATGAAGTTTGGCTTTGAGAGAATGGTTGTGTTGTTTGGATTGAAGGTGTTTGATAAAGTAAAGGAAGAGGAGTTTAAATCAGTTTTCAGGGACATGGACATGCTTAATTAGATCCTAGATTTACAATTTTCAAAGCTGGAGTATTTTCAATGTATTCATTTTATGTGAGAAGTAAGGAAAATAATTGTTGTCTAAAGATGTAAACGTTCTTGTGTGTAAAAGGTCTGTCTTTTTTTATGAAGAAAAAACATGTTTGAGGGATTTTTGATGTATTGTTGGGAAAGTAACAACCAACTAACATTTTATTTTGTTTTCTCTCAGAACTCCATGATGCGTGCAGCTGTGGTTCTCTGGATTGTCTCAGCAGTGATCTATGTGGGGAGAGGTGATCCCCAGCCATGCCGTGCTCAAGGAGCCACAGAGGAGAGCTACAACAGATCATCTCTGGTGATTTCAGCCAACAAAGACTTTGCCTTCAGTCTGTACAGGGAACTGGCCAATTCTGATTCTCAAGGAGAAAACKTCTTCTTCTCACCTGTTTGTGTTTCTGTCATCTTGGCTGCTTTGTCTGTTGGGGCACGAGGAGAGACCCACCAACAGATTTTTGATGGTCTGGCTTTCAGTAACTTCAATCTGTCCCAAACAGATGTAAACCAGGGTGTCTGTCAAATTGTTGGAATTGAACAGGCAAATGAGGGCATCAGTGCAGGTAATGCTGTATTTGTAGACCACCTGTTCAACCCCCTGCCTGAGTTCCTGGAGGTCTTGGAGCACTTTTATTTCACTGAGGGCTTCACTGTTGACTTCAGCAAAACTACAGACTCCATCAACACCATCAATAAATACATTTCACATCAAACCAATGGAAAGATCAAGGAAGTGGTCGACAGTCTGTCTCCAAATACAGTCCTGTTTCTCCTCAGCTACATTTACTACAAAGGTAAAAATGTCACTTGAGATTTACTTTGTTTTTCTACTGTAACACTGATTTCTTTTCTGCTGATCAATTACAAACAGCAAATTGGGTGACTGCATTTAATCCTGCCCTGACAAAGATGGACGAGTTTCATGTAGCTGAAAATGAYACGGTTTGAAACTTGCAGTTTTATATTCAAAAAGGCAGTGTCTTAATTCATACAGTTTATGGCTTTTATATTTTTCAGGTTTCAGTCCAGTTGATGAAAACGGAAGAATCTTTGTATTTTTATGATGAAGCAATCAGCACCTCAGTCCTCCACCTTCCCTTCAAGTCCTGCTCCATGTTGCTGCTGATGCCTGATGATATGAGAACCCTGGAGGACATCATCAGTCCAGCTCAAGTCACTGAATGGCGGAAGCTGCTTAAGTCCATGTAATCTCTTAGCTTTTATCTAAATATTTTATTTTACCCAAGTTGAGTTTGTGGAGGTCAGGAGAGTTGCAGGTTCAGTTCCCTGCCATCCCATATGTTTGAGTCTTAATTCCAACTGCTTCCAAGAAAGCTTAGATGACTGCCTGCTTCTCAGTGTGACTTGCATGATGGTGGTCATTTGCAGAGAAAATATTTGTTGAATGACTACTGTGTATTTTTTTTCTCCAAATTTTAGTGACTATGATGTTTATATTCCAAAGTTTTCCATCAAGACCTCCTACGTGCTGAATGACGTGTTGAAGGAAATGGGAATGACTGACATGTTTGATCATGCAGACCTGAGTGGGATTTCAATGCTGCATGACTTGGCTGTCTCTGAGGTAAGGACCGTAAAGTTCTGGTTGCACATTTTCCCTCATTCTGTCCACATTCAGCTCACTGTGCTCCATTGTCTGTAAGGTTGTGCACAGAGCTGCCCTGGATGTTGATGAGGCTGGAGCCACCGCTGCTGCTGCCACTGGGGTTGACATTGTGGAGCTTTCTTCCTTGAAGACAGGACTGAAATATGATCGTCCTTTCATGCTGATGATAATTGAACAGAGCACAGAAATCATTCTTTTTATAGGAAAGATTGTCAACCCAAACCTGAAGTAACAATTGTGGTCTGGTATTGCTGCTGTATTGAAGTATTTTTAAAGGAATACATACTTTAATAAACGGTACTTGCAGTCATTAAGATGCATGTTTTCTGTCACTTGTGGCTGAAATTGAGTCCTTTCCCTTTAGGAGATGTGCAAATTTGAAACTAATCAGTTCACTTTAATGGAACAATTAGCTATGTAAAAGGCACTTTTATTCAACTTGGTTGCCAACGCTAAACCATGCAGTCGGTATCTCCTTGGCTACTTTATTACAAAGAAAATCTCAATGAGCGCATGGAGAACTGGCCAGACTCCTGTGAACCAAAATTACACTAGTCCTGAAAATGAGGAACAAGTCATTCAGTAGCAAAAGCAGATGACCCTGGACACATGTCAAGTTGCCCAGCTAGATCACTGCCATGCCTGAAGAGCACATTTGAGCAGAGCTGGTTGACCTTCAGAGACTGACTATTGGAGTCTCTCTTGGCCCTCTTCCACATGGGCCAAATGTTTCACTGTCTGGTCCAGGTGGTCAAATGCTAGATGCAAAGTCTGTAGGGACATGGGTCGATTGGAACAGCAAGAGGTTGTCTTAAATGCCCCCCCCCCCCCAAAAAAAAGAGGGACAAAGACCATGTCCTGCTAGAGTGAGGCCAAACGGGTCCTGTTGTGTAGCACATCCATCGTTCTGACTTAAATGCCTTTAAATGTAAGGCTGCAATGCCATGGAGTGGAGAGCTCATGACAGCTGCAAATTACACTACAGGAAAAGCAATTGTTGCAATAAAATCAAGCCATATACTGAGACAAAGCGAACTGAACACAAAAAAGCTCAACATGGCTGCTGGAAAGTATGGAAGCCCATTTCTGCCACCCTGATAAAAAAATAAAACTTGTATCTCATGACTTAGCTATCTCATGAGTTACTATCTCATGAGATAGCTAAGTCATAAGTATCTCATAATAATGAGAGCCGTCTCATAATTATGACTTGGCTATCTCATGAGATAGAAACAGCAAGTCTAATCCATAGTTTTTTGGTAACATGGGCTCATCACTTTGGTAGACTGAGGACTTAATGATGCTGAAGAAGTGGTGTGGTACTTGTAAGCTTWATGCAAGGTAATGTATTTATACATTTTCAAGTATAGTGTTAAATACATTTTTCAGATCAATATTTTTCACAGTAGCTAGGATGTTGGATCAAACCAACAGAAGCCTAAATGAATTAGCCTGTGTTAGATTCRAAAACATAACATTTATGCAAAACAGTACATGATATTGAATTTTTTTAATCATACATAAAGCGTGCTGCAGTAAAAGTACTTATTTAGGCCTATTCTTTTAAAATAATCATCAAATTTCTGTCACTTCGAACCCCCCTTTTAAATTGGTTCAGTCCAGTTACCAGGACGGGACCACTGAGCATTCAGTTAGTTGCGCTAATGRGCTTGCGCATGCAAACATTGTTTACTACGATAAGAAGTATGTCTTCTTGTTAAAACTGTGTCTGGAACATAAACTAGCTTATTATTAGGTAAGACTATAGGCAATTTTTAAGATAGCTTAGGGCGCTTTTTTAAGCTAACGTTTTGATGTTTTCACTCCATCAGTTCACTTCCACATGGAGAGATGTCTTGCCTTTTTGGTAAGATATATCTGAGCCTTGCATACCAGGTACATTTTTATTTGCTGTAATGATGCATGTTCAGTTTATCTGATCACAAAGAAGTCATGGTGTAATAACTGGTTAGTAGTTATGCTGCCAATGCTAACTGGCTATAGGCTATTTGCTACTAAAACACTGCATTCATGTTTTTTCATGTAAACCACGGTAAATTATGTCATTACATTTTATCACAAGTAGACGAAGAAACTTATTTTTGTTGTCATAGATTAAATAATGTATACAATGTATGCATATATGACATTGATGAACAAAATGTCAAGTTGGCCATTTTTATAATATAATGTTTGTATTTACTAGTCTATTGTCTTCTAATC